TTTTTGTGGGACAAATTAAAAGTTATGACATAATTTATTTTTAAATAAATTGTATGCAGTTTGTTTTATTAAGGATAAAAATCACAAAACGGTCAAAATGACCGCTACGGGCGTTCTAGTGTTAAAAGACAGTAAAGAAGGAAAGAAGTAAAATAGTAAAGAAAGAAAAAAGTAAAGTAGAAAAAGAGTAAAGCAGGAAGTGAGAGAGTAAAGAATTTTGAAATGCGCTTTTAGACATCAGTTTTTAACCGTTTGTCAACTTCAATGGAAAAACAAAGGCAAGAATACGAAAAGCACGTGGTGTACTTGACAAATTATCACAGATCAATATCGCATAGCGATCCCTATGTTTGAAATATATAGATGATAGCGCATAGTGTCTGCTTTTATCTGTCATAGTAGACCAGATTTTGCTGCGATAGTGCGATGTAAATAATAAAAACTTAAAGTAGTCGGATTGATTAATAAAGTACACTAATCGATCCAGTTTGTGATGCTGATTTCGAATATGATATTTTTTATTGCATAAAACTTGACTTCTGATAAAGAAAATTAAGAATTACGCTAGAATTCCGTTTTTTACTCTTATGATCTAAAAAATATGAATTTTCTCAATGATAAAGCAAAGCGGAAAAAAAGTGATCTTTGAAAGCTCATTTAATGGCTAGTCTAATGAAGTAAAACAAAACTGGATTCATCTCTTCACAAAAATACTTGATAGGCTTGCAAAATTATGTATGAATTTTTTACAGAGAGAGTTCAAAAGGTCCATATTTGATAGATCTTTGATCTCAACCTTCATCAAGCATCATTCTCAATTTTTAATGTTGAATCTGAAAGGATACTCTCAAAAAGTTGAAATCAAGAGAAAGAAAAAGATTTGAGCTGTTTTAAAACCAAAGAGTTTTTCGAAATTTTAGACGCTTTTTTCAATTTTTCTTCCTCTAAAAAATCTTTAAAAAAATTAAAAAACACTTTTTTTTATTCAGCTTGATGAACTCTATTTAGTCATGCCGAAAAAACAGGAAAAAAAAATTCGACCTTATTTTTTCATTATTTGCACCTTAATATAGTCTAAAGAACTAAAAATATTAAAATTTTCTAATTAAGTCTTTGTGAGATTACCAGTCAGAAAGAAAATATTCAAAAACTAGATTGTTAACTAGGGATGTTCGGTTCTCGGGCTCCGAAACCGACAATCGCGGTTGCCATTCTCGAGTTAGAAGCAAAGCAAAAAGAAAAGCAAGTGAAAAGGTCTCGGTTCCGAAAAACAGAAACCGCGGTTCCAGTTCCACTGTCAGAGCCGGTACCGCAGTTCCGATTACAGATGAAAAACCGAAAATAAGAGAACCGTGGTTCCGGTTCTTCACGAGAACCGAGAACCAAACATCCTTATTGTTAACTGCATATAATGGTGCAAAAATAGCCTCAAAACGAACGTGATAAAATGTCCAATTTTTGATCGTGAAAAAATGACTACTTTTAAGCATTAAAACTTGTTTAAATGATTAAAAACAGTTAAAAAATTGTCTCACTGCTGTATACAATTACATTTAACAACATGGCTATTGATGGGTATTTAATAGACAATTAATCACATCATTTTTGACATTGTGTATATGAATCACTCTTACCTTTTTCCATGATAAAATTTACATGTATCAAAACAAAATGGTATTCGTTGAAACAGACTTCGTCCTCGATAATCATCATGTGGTCGTTTTTTCATGAAACTTTCTTTAAAACTTGGACTAAGACCATAAACAAATGATATTGAACTGACTTCAAAAAATTCTCTCTATAAAGAGAAAACCATATTAGAATTTTAACTATTTGTAGAAAACAAACATTTATACTTACAACTGCTGGATGATTACGAAATTTGTTATGTTTCAAAATTTTGTTCAAATATTCTAATAGTAAAGCCTAATATTTGAAAAGAAAAATGATGTCAAAATTACTTACATACAGAATTCACTTACACAGCGAGATTTTATTAAATGGTCGTTAATCAATGCAAAACGGTCATTTCGAGTAGGAAAACAAGGTCGATCTGTATCTTGATCTTGCGTTCTTTAACAAAAGAAGTAAAGTAAATAGAAGACATTCAAATATTATCACAAAATGATCTTGTTAAGAAAAGGTAAAGAACTGAGATGTAAATCGTTCAGCTATCTACTTATTCTAATCAAAGAAAACATTATACTTAATTTTTGTTTATCAAGCAAAAATAATATAAAAGGTGACAACGTAAAATTCACGGTAAATTTTCAGAAATCTTTTTTAAGTTGTTCAATCGTACTACAAAGACGTTCAGCGCTACAAACATGTAAAATGATCTTCAGAGAGCTTTAAAATCTAAAATATCTTAATAGAATATTTTAAGAATTCATAGGTACAAGATTAAAACAAGATACTTTTCTGATGACTTTTCCAGAAAAAAACTTCTTTCATTACCTTGTATCCATTGAATCGCATTCAAAAGAAAGCAAAACGCATGCTAAAACTGTTAAAAGATGAACAAAATGTTAAATATCACATTGAATTATACACTTTAATTGTTGTTATATTAAATTCTTTGGAAAATGTTACAACTGACGAGAAATTTGTTAATAATATTAGTAATTAATTCATATTCCAAGGATATTCCCGTAATATTGATCGTACTCTAGTTAAAATACATGCCATTTTAAAAGAGCAAACAATATTCTTTAACTTATTTATGAGGCAAATTTCAATAGTTTATAGATTTACAGATGTGAGATCGTTAAAATAGAGATTGTGACGTACAAATAGTGTTTAAATTTGAAACTTATATCCAAATATGAGAAAAACTGTTAGCATTTATTTTTTCTCTTCTCCGAAGCGTTGTGATTTAACCAAAAAGTATCAACCAAATTAATCCATGAAAAGTCATTTTTTGTGACGTGTTGTAAACATCAAAAGAGAAAATCAGCGCACAGGCGTGGCGAGAGAAAAAGGTAGGAGGGATGTAAATTTATTTGAGAGAAACTATAGAACACAACATCATCCATCATCATAATTTCAACACAATAACTAAATGATAATGTTGATATCAATTTAAGATTTTTTTCTCATTGAAGAAAAGTGAGATAAATTTTGATTAGATTGGTTACCAGATCTTGGAAAGAGCTCAGACGCAATTCTTGGAAGACAAAGAGATTATTAAAGTGAAAATTTTTTTTCCAAAAGTAGGAAAAACGTACATCCTCTTACACCCCTTCTTTGGCCACGGCACTGAACCAACAAAGAATTTAATTTGAAAGAAACATATAAAAGCAAAAGATGACTTAAGAATCACCCGCACACAGTCACCTAAATCACAATCAAAAGAAAAAGAGTATATAATATAAAACTCAAAAAGCAAAAAAATGTCAGCGCATTAATCTTACGTTTGTCTGTATGACAATAATCTGACAGTGGAAGAATGATGCATACTATAAAAATTAAGGTAAATGCATTTTGTTTTTTTTCCATAAATGTCAGAATTTTTGGAAACATTTTGGCTAAGTTGAAAATGTATGCTGTAATTACTAAATTTATCCGATTCCGTCTGTTCAACGTGTTAAATTACTAATATAACTATAGATATTCATCCTCTCTCCGAGTTGTCCGACTTATATGAACTAATAACGTTTTGAAATTGCTTTAGCAATATGTTATTTTGAATATCTAGAGAGGATGAGCACCTAACTACCTGGAAAGATAAATATCTAGAAAGTTTAGATATATACAAAGGATAAATCTATACAATGCATGTTTGAAGAGGAAAGGTACACGTGCATATCTATATACGTATTAATATATATTTTATACAACAAGTTAGCCAAAATGTTAAAATTCTGACTTTATTTTTCTTTAATTTCTCTATTTCTAAGTTGAACAAAAACAATATCAATACCAAATACTAAAATCTATAATAATTTATTAGTTTATACATACTTATTTAGACTAGCAGTAGATCGTTTTGTTTCATCTTCGACAAATTTGACTAATATTTTATGTAATTCACTAAAATGTTTATATCGTTTTTTAATCGTCCATTCAAATGGTCCATGTGCAACAACAATTGTATATCTATAAAGTGAGAACAATCTAATTCTAGTTTATTTTTTCACACTATCAATCTACTTACAACCATGGATTTAGAAATTGTGTAACGTGTGAATATAAACGTTCAGCATCGATTGATTTAACATAAACACGTACATTTGGCATAAATGATCGAACATCACGATCATAAGCATGTGCAATAGAAAATTTATTGTCTAAAATTAAAGAAAAATATTTCTATATCGTATATATATATATATATAACATGTTTTTTAGTCAATTAACCTATTTGATATGAATGATCTACATTTGGATCATCAAATTCTTTATCGGGATATGGAAGATATTCGACATGTTTTTCAGCTAGATGAGCAACATTGAGTGCCAACTCTGCGATGCCAGCTGTTCGATTGAGAAGAACATTAATGCCAACGTTTGTATTATTAGCACCATTCGACGTTTCAGTCATCTATAAAGCATGAAAAAAGATAATTAGTTTTTATCGTGTATAAAATGATTGAGGGTATTCTCTCACGCTCTTTTTTCTACTTTTCTTGCAAATGGAGAGTAAAAGTCAGATTGAGTTCAAATTCATATCAGAGATCAAACATTGAAAAAGAAAGTCGGTATATTTTTGCCCAAAATTTTCTAATGTGTTCTCATAAGAGGTTTCTGGAAAACTCTCTGGTTTGAAGTACATTATGACCCCTTGACAACTTCATCCAAGCGGGTCCAAAATTATACCACAGGTACCTAGGACGATATCTTAGAACGATAATTTTCTTTTTTGTTCTTTAGCTTTCCCTCTCGAGATATACAAAAACTGATGAAAGAAATAATAATAATGAAAAATAATAATGATGAAGAAATAATCAAAAACGAAAAAGGAAACGTACTCTTTCTGAGATATCGTCCTAGTTACCTGTGATAAAATTTTGGATCCAATTGGATGAAGTTTCCGGAGAGTCGTAATGTAATTCAATGGGAACCAGAGTTTTCCAGAAAACTTTTATGAAAATATGACAGAAATTTTGGACAAAAATATACCGACTTTCTTTTTCGATGTTTGATCTCTGATATAAATTTGAGCTCAACTGGACGTTTACTCTTCATTTGTAAAGTGAAAACGAGGAGACTGTCTTTAAATCTGTCAGGCATGTCTACTGAGAAAAGCAAGTCACATATGAGAGAAACGTAACTTTCTGGTACAATCGATAAAAAAAAATGAAAGTGTTCATTAAAAAATTTTGAATGGTACGTTTTGTTCCTCTGTCTTTGCCGAGTATCCTATAAACATTTCCCAACTGCCAGACTCATACTGGCTGAGTTAGGAGGGAGACAATTTTCAGTTTTTGCCATAGAAATTTTTGGCAGGACTTTGCTAGAAAAAGGGTTGAAATAGATGTATTCTACATTGTTCGACAGAGAATGATTCGAGCAGTACCGTGGGGCTGTGAGCAAATGCGTCAAGCCGAAAAACCGCGGAAAAGTTTTTTCATTCTTTAGTGTTAAAATTTAAAAAGGCCGAATTTCGTTATGTGATTCTACTTACAGAATTATCCATTATTTTAGCAAAGACTACAGATTTTAGAGCTTCAAAAATTAGGTAGTCAAACTCGCCGCAGTCTGAGGAGTTGACTGGTGTACGGTATTGATGGTTTTCGTTTAGCTTTGAACAAAAATCTCACGAAAAAAGGTTGGTCTACATTTAGTTAAAAATAAAAGTCGATCTACATTTTTCCCTATAATGTAAAAATAGTAAGGAACAAAATGAGGATTCGATCTGAAATTACTTTTGCTAGTACAACTTTTGATGCTCTATCTAGTGTAGAAGTTTCATCGAGAACGAATGCATGCTTCATTAGTTCTGAGCAAAACAAGTTGCAAAAAGTCAGTCTACATTTAGAGCGGAAATTGACTTCCGCAAGAATGAAAGCTGTTTTTATCTCTACCAAATCATGCAAACTGGATTTTTTTAAATAGAGTTGTAGACCGACGTCTGATCTACAATTTAGCCACTCCAAAAATTTCTTCAGTGGCGGACTTTTGGGAAAAACTGTAAGAGAGGGTCGGTGTACAAAAAATGGAAAAGATGCTTGAAAGTTGAACACTAATCATATGGTTAGATTCACAATTCAATTCTCTACAGGATGCGCTGCTTTCCCTTTCTTTTTACATAATCAAAAATTCAGTTTTCAGATGATAAGTCATCAGAAAATTAAGTTTTTTCAACTTTCGAGTCTCATAACTTTGCAACGAAAGGACGTATCGAGTAGAAAATTTTTGTGAAAGTGGGCAAAGTACTAGGCAAAGCACAGGAAAGCCTCTTGTAACCTGAGTTATTATAGAAACATATCTAAACAAGTGATTGTACTAGAAAGTTACGTTTCTCTCATATATATGTCTTAGTTAACTGATGCATGACAAGATACTCTACAAAGGGTATCGTTTCGATTCGTCGATTCATTAGTATTTTTCCTGTCTCGTCGACAACATGAAGAGGAGGGAGATGAAAGATGTTAGTGAGACGCTGACACTATAAAAAATCGACGAATCAGGGAAATTAATTAACGTGTCAACGAATCGGGACTGAATCCTAGAAACTAGTGTCCATACAGCGAGTTTCTAGAGTACTACATACGATTTTGAACAGGAATGTAGTTTCTTGTCTGAAGTTTTCTTCAATTATAAAGTTTATTCAATTGTCAGTTTCACTTACTGTTCAGAATAGACGGCGAGTTTAAAGCAAAATTTTTTCAAAATTGACCTATAGCATGATTTTATGTTTTGATATGTGAAATCATAATAGAAAGTCATGCCGTTCTGTTCCTAGCATAGATTAAGTAATTTTCTAATACAAAAAAGTGCATGCTTTCTAACAGCCACATATTACTACATGAATAAAATGAACATAAAAATGGATTATATTCAGGTTACATCAAATCAGTAGAGTATAAAAGTCTGACACTATAGCTTTTTGTACCTGAATAGCGTTTTTTTTACTATATAACTGTTTAAATCCAGAACTTTAGACTTTAAACAGTGCATTTTACATCTGACTATCTTTTTCGTCTGTGGTTAAACATAAACATCTACAGAAAATATTAAATTTTCGTCTATTTTCCTCTCTCGCCATTCATTTATATATGAACAACAATCCTTTATCGTTATACATTGGAAGAAATGATTATTTCTTACTATCGTACGTATATTGTCAAGAAAAAAACACATTTGTATCAAATTTGGAGGATATCGTATCGTCTGCTTTTCTTTCTATATGAAAAAAAGAAGAGAAGAAAATTTTGCGTATCATATAGTAAACGTTTTTGATAATGGCAATATCTGGCGATGATACTCATCATACAACTAAGTCATTTTCATCTTAATTGTTAATAATAAAAAAACTTTGCGATAAGATTAACTAAAGCAAATATTACATTTTTCTTTTTGTATTCATTGTTTCGCTTTTTTCGCCTCTACTATTATTACGTAAATATCATCACATGTTATGATAATTAAACTGAGCGAGTAGTAAAAATAAGTATTAACTGACTTAACGTTCAACTGAATGACAAATTGCCCTATACGTTTCATAAATATTAAATTAAATGTGATTTTAGGCGTAGAATGACGTTAAGATAGAAAAAAATTCATTGTTAAACTTACCGTCGTATTTTTTTCATAATTAATGAGTTATTTTATTTTGAGTATGTCCACAGATTCTAGCATTTTTTTTTTACAAGCTAACATTATACTACACGTAGAACAACTGTACGATTTATTGGCTTTTATTTTTCTTTTCTTTTCTGTATCCTTTTCTCAACGAGACTTGCTATATCAAGTGTTTTTTACATGGTACTATGTAAAGCTATACTTATTTTTTTTCTCTTTTCCTTGTCACACATTATCTTTTTTTCTTCTTTTCTCCACATCACACGCAAAAAAAGAAATTTAATATTGTAAATTCCTTATTTCTTTCAAAACCATATGCCTGACATTCACAGTTTGAAAATAAAATATTTATTCTATCTGCATAATTGAGAGAAACTACAAGAAAAAAAGTTAGATTATATTTTTTAATAGTCTGTTGCATGCATATCGTGCGTCAAAAGCAATGACGTACACGCGTTTTTATAGCTCTCAAGCAGGCGCCCATTTCTTGTTTTCGTTGGGAACACTTGGTTGATTTTTTTTCTTCTAATACAATGTTCGATTAGATTTTATTTTCATCTGTATACTAGAGAGGCAACATCTATCCGTGAATTTGAAAATTTTTTCTACAACTAGGAAAAATTATTTTGAAAAGCTCAACAGTCTGAAGTTTTCAAAAGGAAAATTATTCCTTTATTTTTAATCTTTTCCGCGTTGAATCCTAACTCTTGTAATATCTGTCATAAATGTAATGCTTCTTTTATGTGTTACTGATTCACACAAACACACATGATATAAAGCTGTAGCAAAGTACCGATCATCTTCGTTACACTCATCACATTCTTTTTTGAGAATTCTTGATATTTTCATCTGACGTAATCCATGGGGAAATTTTGCTGAAGTTTCACAACGTTGGGGTCGTGCAATTGCAACATCAAATGCGTGGTCACATGTGAACTTTCTATAATTCCCTAAGCGTTTACAAGCGAGAATTTCTTTTCACGTGCATCCATACACCATTTTACCACTTTCACTAGTAACCGTGTGCGAAAAGTTTCCGTAAGCATTTCACGAGTTGTTGCAAGTGGAAAATATTGTGTCATGCTGTTTCATATACTGAAATTTTCCCCTGGGAAGCGATTGAAAACAATAGATTGAGAAAGAAACAACTTTCACAACGAATATTCTTCACCTACAAAATAGCCATTGTTTATTTTGCCATAGTTTATTTTGTTAATCGACTGAGTTAAGAAATCATCCGTTGTCTGTCTAATAAAGAATAGTCGGCTATATGTATGAGAAAATTAATGGGGCATTACTTCAAGATCTACTACATTAAGGGCTAACGTTACTAAGGGGTGTGCGACATCCTTACTCCCCCAAAAATAAAAATAAATTGATTTTTCCCGGCAGAACAAAAAAACGTTCTTGTCTTAGTGGAGCACCCACGCCAAGTCTTACCGCTTGCGACATTCAATGGTTGTCTTATTCAAATTAAGAATAAAAAAGTGGAAATTTTCCTATGTAATTCGAGATGGCGCCATATCATGACTTTTCGCGTCCATACAAATTATATGGGAGAATTTTACTTTTTTATTCTTAATTTGAATAAGATGACCTTTTTGTGCCCAACTTCTTGAAGGATTCTGATCTCGAAAAAATATTAAGTAGAGGCTTGAAAAAAGTCGATTTTACGATAAGGTTATTATGCTACATTATCATCAGATCGCCGACGCATTCTATTTCGCTAGTTTATGGGAATGTATTAAATTAGACAATGTAGCAACTGTTAAAGGATAGGAACTAGCACTTAAACCT